GCCTGGACAGCATCCTCCTCTCTGCCACGGTCGTCAGGGTGTCCAGCTCCTCCCCTACGACATCACCGGCTCTATCCCGGACAGCTTGAAAAGTGTTAAAAGTTGGGATGTTTAAGCCAAAGATAAAGAGTTACCTGCCTTTAAGAATGTGTTACTTTGTTCAAGTGTGAATCTGTCAACAGCAATAGTAGAATACAGTAGAATATTATTTATTATTGCCTTTTAGCTCAGAAATCTGATAAAATATAAAATAATTCTGTTAATCACCAGTAGAGGAATAATAGAGCAGCATAAAAACAGAGTAAGAGGAGTAGAAACAGATTAAGAGCTGTCTAAATGAACTTATTAAATAAACAGGGCTTTAAAGAAGAGCATATATTATGCTTTTATTGTGATGACAGATCACCTACTTCCCTGTATCACTGCCTAACTCTCACTACCTTGACTTATCTCTGAAGCTTTTTCTCTGCGCAACCATTTCTCCTCCCACTAGTGCAGGCTTCTGCTTAGGCCTTTGACTATAGTTTAATATAAACCACTGCTGCATGAACACTTAAACAATTTAAATAATTGCACATAGACTTGCTATAGGAGTGCGAGGTGCGTGGGTGACCTAAATACGCAGAACTTGGAGGAACTGGTTGGCCCGGAGCCTGGAGCTCGTGCAGGGAGCCCCCGAGGGTGTGGGGTGGATACTGTACACCCATTTCTGCAAAGTTTCCACCCTTGTCTTTCCGCTGGTAACCCTGGCCGGCTGCCTCTTGTCTTCACAGTAGGTGATGTAAGGCCACAGCATGAGGAGTGACATACTGTACAATACATCATGAGAAAAGCCAGACGTATTGGCTGCACTCACACTGTGCTCAAATCCAAATCACTGCTGAGATCCAGTTTTCTTTTTAGCTACGTGCAAACATTGTATTTTTAAGCCCCTTTTGTGTTCAGATTGCGATCAGTATCTGACACCGGTCTGAACGAATCACACTCCTGAACTGACTCGCAAAAATTAAAGCCACAAAAACCGTCACACCCGACACACTCATGCAGAAGTGAAATGGAGGCTACAGTGACTAATGCCTTGCTCTTTTGTGTGGTGTAATTTGTATGCTAATGTGAAAGTGGGAGGCAGGTGTCCATTAAATTCAGCACACCTCAAACAAAAATCTGGTCAGCAGTTTAACCACTGATCTAAATCAGTGCATGAGGTGTATTAAACTAAGAATCACTGTGTGGCAGTTAGTTTGTGGTAATTTGATTCATTGTCCTAACGACCGCAAGACACATTCCTACCTAATCTACAGGGGATTGTTCTGTGCCAAAATCAACTTTTAATGATTGTTTCAGCTCATGATATGCGTACATCTCGTGTATTCTTAAATTTAGGCATTAGCAGGACAGTATTTCACAACCGTGGCAGTGATTGGTGACTTGGTCTCCGGTTAAAATATTATGCAGCTGCCGTGTGTTGTTCTGTGTGTTTTGTACCTAATAAATACTTAGTGGTAACATGATACTTACACAATGGAAAGAGAGTGGGAGGAACGGGTGTCAAAAGAGCCCCACAGCTAAATATTGACCCAGGGCCCCCAAGTGACTTAATCCAGCCCTGCATAGCTAAAGCACTTCTGCTCGATGCTCACTAAACAGACGACAGGTGACCTTGTTTGTTTTTACGTCCTTAGCACGAGTGCGATAATACACCTGGGGATATCATGATATAGAAAATAACAAACAAGTCTCATTGGTATATCAGTGTGTGTTTTTGCTTGCTGGTCAAAAGCTGCAGATGTATGTAAGGTTAGAGCAAGATGAGTTTAAGCAATGTTTTAAGTCGCCAAGAGGAATTGTGTCTAATGTGTTCTGACTGAGAAACTCTTCAATCTGCCCGCCTTTTAGGCAGTAAGATGCAAACTCAAACTCAAGTGTATTGAATTTGACCAAGAAGTGAAGCATCATCTTGTTAGACGCCACCCTCTAAGTACCATTAGGCTTCCTGGTGCTCTCTACTGCTTGTTCGTTTGTCTGAAACTGTAAACAGATATGAGCCTCACAGCCAGATATGGGCACATTTTGTGGAAGTCTGTCATTGGTAAACGTCCTTTAACTGCCTTAAGAGCTTATAATCTGCCAAAACAGCTCGAAAAGCCAAAACCTGTTCAGGGCTTACAAATCTTTCCCTCTGCCCTCTTTGCGATTAAGTACAGATTTGATTTATTTTGTGCCCACTCAATAGTTGTGTCACTTATTCATTTCATATAATAAATTAAAGGTAATGAGGGTGACACAAGAGAGTCCAGATACTTACAAGGTCACACATGGCTGACTCTCCACTGAGCACCTCCTTCACAGCTGCCCTCCATTTTCCTGCACTGGCTCCTCCAATGACATGTATGTGTGGTTGCTAGGGATCATGAATAATGTCAAACTGGAGTGACGTAATATTTATTGTAATTAAAAACAAAAATCTTCTTACGATTTCTCAAATTCCTCAGATTTACTGTTTTCATCTGTTTTGTATCATTGTTTTTTTAATGTCAGTTTTGGACTGTGAGTGAAACAAAACAAGCAATTTAAAGATGTAACCTTAGACGATGATTAGAGATGTTTTCGTATTATTTTTATTTATATGTTATAAATTAAACAAAAAAATAGTTGATAGTGGATCCTGGTAGCATTAAAAATACACCTAGTCACCCTTTTTGCATGTCACCCACCTCTCTCTTCTCTCTTCTCTGTTCTCTGTCAAAAAATATTTAAAAAAAAACAGAACAAAAAAAAATTACGAGATGGATAGATATGAATAAAAAAGACAAATGCAAAAGTGGCCCAAATCAAGATTAAAAAACTTAGGCTTCAATGTGATTTTTCACTTTTTATACCATCACCAAAAAACTGATCTATGTTGTGATTTTGGCTGTGTTTACCTGCAGTTCAAAGGCAGCCATTTTGTCTAATGACATTTTTTATCCAGCTACATCAATCACACTGGGACAGCCATGTTGAAAGCTACCCTGATTCCAGCAGATTCCTTTGAGGCCACCTGCATGAATGTGTGTGTGTTTGTGTCTGTGTTAACCTGTTGCTGCTCGGAAACGGAATAGTGGAGTCCCATTAATCAAGTGCCGTTCATAGAGACACACACCTGTTGTACAGCCGTGACCTCGGGGCCGTGTGTGTGTGTGTGTGTGTGTGTGTGTGTGTGTGAAAGGGTGAGCAAGAGGAGGCCAGATGGAGGAAGAGAGATAGTGAAATGTCAATCAGATTAATTTCTTACTCAAACCTGACTCTTGCTGTAAATCCACTCATGTCATTACTGTGTGTGTTTTCTCTTTCTTCTCCCAGGAGAGGGGGAGGACTGAGTGAGCGAGTGTTCGTCCGAACGACCAACAGACAGACAGACCAACAGACAGATTGAATGACGCCGCACCTGGTGCTTCTGAGGGCCTTTCCCATGTTTTGATTGGCTCCATTTTTTACTTTCTAAACTTGGTTTCACCGAGCCGCTGCCTGCCATGCCGTCCAACAGTCCTGCTGCCGCCGAACCGCCCCAGACACCAGAGAATGACACAGCCAATGACGTGGTGAGAGAGCTTGATTATCATTGATATACAGGGGTGTTTTGTTTCTTCAGTTGAAAGTAATGTATCGCTACTACTGCTGATTATACTTTTACATCTATACAATGAATGCTGCAAGCACATTTCCTAGTGCTGTTATTACAACAACATTACAACAATAAGATAATGGAGGAAGTCATTTTTCACTTGAGTGAAATTAGCTGTACAACAATGGAGAAAATATCCTAGTAAACTTTGTGTATTGTCCATACAGTGTATGGAGTCAGGAGTGTGCCAAAACAAATGCTGTCTCTTTACATTAAAGCGTCCACAAAATGGAAACAATAAATGTCACAGCAGGAGATAAATGACTCTTGGGTGTTATGACAGTATATACCATGCAACAGTAGAAATATGTCCATTAGTTGAGATTTGGCAGTACCGTTTCCACCGTGGGACCTACTGTCAATTACAACGCAGAGTTGTAGAATTAAATTTAGATATAGTTTTCCTTTATGCTACTTTTAAAAACAAAATACAAAGTCACTGAGTCATAAAAATGAAAACAAGGGCGCCCGGTTAGCTCAGTGGGTAGAGCTGGCGACCCATGTACCAAGGCCTTGCTGCAGCGGCCCAAGGTTTGAATCCGAGCTGCGGCCCTTTGCTG